AATCTAAAATCTGAGAAATGAAAGGATAGAAAGATATGATGTGAGAGGTATGAGTTGAGCCTATGGTTTATAGAGAAATTTAGAAGATAGAGATGACACGTGGCGTGATTTTAGAGGGTAAAAATCTTATCTGAAATATGAGATTTGTATTTTATAATAAATATCGACACGTGGCACCTGAGAATCTTATCCTAAAATTTTATTTGAAATTTGAGATTTCTATTTATAATAAATATCAACATGTGGCAACCGAAAATTTTATCTGGAAATTTTATCAGAAAGATTAATTCGAATTATGAGATATGAATTTTATAATAAATATTGACACGTGGGAACCGAAAATCTTCTAAAAATTAATTGTTTAGGTTAAAAAAAAAAAACTAAAAGTGAATAGTATTTGCCCTTTGTCATGGCAATGGGTGAAAACACATCTTGCCTTACCCTTGCCCTTTGCCATGACAAATGGGTGGAAGTGCTCTAAGAGGGTTGGCCTGGTAATGAGTGGGTATTGGATTCAAAAAATATAAACCTCTATATACGGGTTGGAATCAAAACTTAAGGGCATAATCTTGGGTTAACCTAATCAAATGGCCCAACTCAATCACAAAAGAGTTGGATTGGGTTGGCCTAATAATAAGCAGGTCCCAAGAAATCATAATTTTCTATGTATGAGTTGGATTACAGATTGGGACCAAAACTATTCCAACCTGTGCTGACATTTGCCCACCATCTTCCCCCAACTAAATGCCAAGTCATAATGCCGTAATTAACTCAAGAAAAAGAAAAACTAGAAGAACCCAACCACTTAGCGCCCCTACCTTTCTTCCTCCATAGGGAGCAGCCACCAAATCCCCCCTCCATCAACAACAAGTCCCATTCCCTATCTCTCATCTCCTTCCTCATCCCTCCTTGTAAAGTAGTATAAATTATTCCAAGTGGACGAAACAGAAAACAATCATGACAACAAGACCGTGTTTCCCAAACTAGAAGGTTGTGGTACAAATCTATATATATAAAGCAAAAGGCAGAGAATGGTAAAATATTTAAAATATCAGAAAATGCCATTGGTTAATGCAAATATTAAAAATTGAATATTAATTAAATGAGGATAATATGGTCAATTTATATTTATATTTTAAAAATTTAAATTAAAAATAAAATTTTATAATAGTTCATATTTTATGGAACATAACTACTCATTTTATCTTTTCGTAATATGGTCAATTTACTTGTCCCCACCGTTGCACTCCTCCCACCAAATCTTGATTGGATTAGGTGAAATATAAAGAGGACTCTTTATCTATGGCCTATACCCCACAACTCTTCTTGCAATTTTCCCTTACAAAAATTCATACAGACCCAAAACATAGTGTTACCTAGTGCTTAAATACATGCAGTTACTGTTTTGGTTCACTTAGTGTTGGTGGAACAATAGGAAATATGAATTTTAAAATAATAATTCTCAACAAAATTATAAGCATAAAATATGATAGCAAACTTACATAGAACTCATGTAAACTAACAAACATAAATGTGTAGAAATACTGACAACATTAGCGTTTGAGGCTTGCAAGAATTGCAATGTCCTAAACACATATTTCGCTCCTGTCCTTGTGCTCGCAGTTCAACAGGCGTCCATCTCCCAAGATTTAACAATTGATAATCCTAAATTAAAACACTTCAATTTAAGACTCTGGCGAACCAATTATATATCTGTACTCTGTTGACTATACTCAAAATTGATCAAATGAGTAAATTAGAGCACTGGGGAAATACTCTTTTTTTTTTTCCACGAGTTAGAACTTATCTTTAAGGAGGAAACTATTGGATTTATATAAAACTCAAACATCATGACAGGACCCACTCCAAATTCCTCGCAATCTGTGACGAACCCTATGGTTTTTCCGACATCCACCTGATGCTGGGCCTACTTACTAACATCATCCTCTTCTCCAAAAACAAAGTTCTGCCGAAATTTCGGCAGAGTCTCCCCTAAAAAATGGACTTTTCCCAAAAATTTCAACCTATCCAAAAATACAATAATAATTCTGAACCAGTAGTATGCACAATACAAAAGCACATAATTACAGAATTGGCCTCCGGCCTTACATCCAACCCTAACATAGGCGATAATAGAGCAATCCTAGAGCAATTCAATTTACAACTGAAAACAAAGTTCAACAGAAATAGAGACAAATAAAGATTGCCTTACAGAAGTTCAGGCCTTGGAAATTCAAGTCTCGGCTCGCCCACTCGGCTCAGATCAAGCTATTGCCTAGGGGCGTAAAATAGAAAATTATGAGTGGACAAATTTTTTTTATTTATCGTAATTGAAAACAACATACTAACCCCACTGTTTGAAAAACAATGCTAAAAACATGCAATTGAAACCATTCATACGAAATCAATATGAAACTAAGGTAGTCCCATACTCCCGATATAGTATAGTTCTAACCAAGTTCAATTTCTTTTGACTCTAACCAAACGCCTTCCCGAGATATAGGTTTACAAAACGTAGTATGTAAGGAAAAATTTTAAAGTAGTTAAGCGTATACATATATATAGTTATATACATATAGACCACGAAAATTCTCATGATGGTATAGGTATACACCCCAAAATTCATAAATATACATATAATATCTATATACGATAATCTCACACCAATACGAGTACCGGGGAAAACAATCCAACACAGGGATTGTTTGACTAGCCCACAGGGTTTCAACTTTCTACCCTACATCTAGGGATGAGCTGTCCAACCGGGGGACTGCCACTTAATAGCACACACGCCAGAAAATCCAACGCCACATGTGGCCAAACCAAACCAACTATGTCCTACACGCGTAGACTGCTTTATCACACGTCAAAAAATCCAACGTCACGTGTGATATAGTTCTAACATAACCAAGTGAGCCCACAAGCCGGAAAATCCAACGCCACATGTGGGTACAACAACTAGGGGAGGGTACTTAGCGTGGTGTAAACACAATACTGACATAACAATCAACAAAGTACAGACTCTCATACACCACGTGCCCAGTTCTTGAATCATAATGTAAATAACAACTTCTCAAAGCATATAAACCATATCCAAAATAATTATGAAGTTTAAATGTCCAAACGACTGCAAATTCCATAATTAAAATAATATTTCAACTCCATATTCAAAATAATCCAATTTAAATGCATGGTAATCTAATCTTTGAAAATAATGCTTGTTCAAAACAAAGTCCACTCGCAGAAAGTTTGAAGCTGCATGACCCTGAGAGGGTCCTGCTTGTTGAGTACGCTGAGCCGGAGTACCTATTGAAGAATACGAGGACTAGATTAAATAAAATACTTCGAAAGAGAACTTTAAAAACAAACTCCTAGTTTTCCCAAGACTCAAGTGTGTGTATGACAAACGAGGAGTTTCTAAGGTCCAACTATGCATTTCAAAAGGTGGAATAACCTAGGAAGACTTTTAGTCAACCGAGTGGTCAAACTTCCCAAATTTAGTCAATTGGGCTTGCGTGGCCCACGACCTCCTCCGAAAGTTCCTATGAGTTCAACCAAGCCTATTAAACCCGTTCTGCAAGTTTGGTCTTGATCGAGCGGTAGGATTGCTCTCGATCGCACGATTAGACGGTCACCATTTTACGTAATCTTTGAATAATTGATTCGGAGTACCCAGGACTCCAATTCTCTATCCATGGGTTCCTACACGATTATAGAGGTATACAAATTAACATATTTGGAAATGGAGTCGATCCAAAGATCTGAACATATCGAACCTGGATATCACCTAATAGTTGTAAATCCGTTCGACCATCAAACAATAACACTATTCGAATTTGGGCATACCGTCGTGCTTGGGATGACATGAGGAACATTTTAGAACAAGATGGGCCACCACACCAAGGCCTAGGTGCCTGCAGCGCATGGGTGCCTCGAGAAAATTTCGGCGACCGAAAAATTCTCGAAACACCCGACAATACCTATACCTACATGATTGTGACAACTAGGGAAGCAACTTTGGGTTGGGCCACAACCAAAAAGTGGCCGGAACTTGCTGGAAAATCAAGCCAAAAATCGGTCAAAACCTAGATTCTAGATTGAGTTTCAATAACCCAAAATTGACCCAAACCACCTGAATAGATAGCTAGATCTCATTGAGATGAGAAAGCATACTTGGATCAACCAATTTCGTCACTGGAGTAGCCAGAAATGTTGTCGGAAAGCTCCAACTGTTGCGGCTGTTTCCGAGCTCATAGCAGTGACGTGGCGGCCTAGGGTGGTGGGGCTTCAGCACAGACGCCTTCGCTAGTTTGTGCTGGCCGTTTTCCAAAGGGTCCCATGACCTAGCATGGCCGGAGTAGCTCGAATGCCAACCAAACGTGGCCGGCCTGGTTCGTGAAGGGAGAGAGTCGGGGGAGGAGGAGAGAGAAATGAGAGAGATGCGAGAGAGATAGAGAGAGACTGAGCTGGGTTTTTAAAATTCTAACTTTGGAATATTTACGATTGTACTGCTACACTTCTGTTGACCATAACTTCTTCGTTAAAACTCTGATTTGAGCCCACTATGTTTCTATGAACTTGTATCGACGAGCTCTACGCAACAATGCCACTCAAATCCCAAAATCCTTACAGATCGGAAAGTGACTATCATGACCTTATCCCAAAGACAAAATTGTAATTTCACAATTAAATAAATTTAATAAATTTAATAAACAATTAAAATTGGGTCAACGTGTCACACATCATTCTTGAAACAAACCATCGTAGTTGTTCCCAACAGAGGCAACTTGTTATTATAATTACGGGTTAATTTCAATTTATAGTCTAGAAGTTTTTTGAAATTCAGACTTTACAACATCAAGTTTTTTTCTCATCAACTTCATACAAAAAGTTTGACTTTTCTACTATTCCTATACATCCATCAGTCATTCCCGCCAAATGCTTTGTTAAATGATGACATGGCAATCAATGGTCACACATGAATTGAAAAATAAAAAATAAGAAAGGAAAAACAAAAAAGAAACAAAAAACTCTCTCCAGCACTAGGCATCGCCTGCTCCCAAGCCACATGCCACAATCCGCCATCTCCATGTCGAAATCTCCCTCAGCCCCCTTCCCCTTCTTGGACACCATGCGTAGCCGCCCTAAAAAAATTTCGCAGCACACCCATTCCTCCCCCACCTCCCAAAAAAAAAAAAAGAAACCCCAGGACCACCTCTAGCACAAAATCAAACCTGACCCAAATTTGTTAAACCTCTTTCTAATAGCATGGTCTGGTGTGCTGGTTTGGGAATCTTCCCTTCAAATATGGTGATTTCATTTTGAGATGAGACATTAGTCTGAAGGTATGAATTTGTTGGGATTTCTCAGCAATTGAAGTTCATATTTTTAATTTGTTAAACCTCTTTCTGAGCTGCTGGGTTTGTTTAGTTTACTCATTTTGTGTTTGACTGGGTTTCATGAATTGAAAAGGAGAAACTAAGTTTGATGAGTAAAAGAAACACAAGAACTTTTTTCTGGGTTTGATTAATGGAAGGAGAAAGATGCCTGGGTAAGGATTGATTCAATTGATGGGGTTGCGTTACTGGCTGTCGGAGAGAGGGGAGGGATGGAGTAGGTGGGGTTAGTGGCTGTCGAACAGATGAGATGGAGTAGGTGGGATTGATTCAATTGATTCAATTGTTTTTGTTATATTTTCTATCTCCTTTTCAAAAAAAGTTATTTATTTAATCTTTTATGGCAAAAGTCACTTTTGATCACAAAACATTATAAAATAGTTTACCACTTTGTTCTCTGCCATTTCAATTTGAAACAAAACAGATAGAATCCTCAATTTTGGTCACATTTTTTTAATTTCTGTTAAATGTAAAGGGGTAAGAAATATATGTCTTTTTGCCGGATGGAAGGGCGAGAGCGAATACCAGACGGTGGCTTGTTCAAAAGACAAGCATCAGTTGCAGTGGCTTCCGCGTCAGCCATGACGCTTGCTGCACCTCAGTGAATTGTTTCTGATTGGCCAGCTCGTTTGAAGTTTTCACTTTCTGCAGATATAAATATACGAACCAAACTGAAACAACCACAGATAGCAAATGGCAGGAGGAGTGAGGAGAATAAAGTTGGGTTCACAAGGCCTTGAGGTCTCTGCTCAAGGCCTGGGATGTATAGGCATGTCTGGCTTCTATGACGCTCCGAAGCCCGACGCAGACATGATCAGTCTCATCCACCATGCCATTGATTCCGGCGTCACCTTCCTCGACACCTCTGACTTCTACGGCCCCTTTACCAACGAAATTCTGCTTGGCAAGGTACGCCACTAACCTCGACTTTGCTTCTTAATATTTGCTCATAATTTGTATCAATTGCTTTTTGGGTTTGTTTGGGCTGTTAAATTGGATGAGTTGATGATAAAATGAATTGGGCTTGGTTTGGTTCAGTCTTGTTCCTGTATTTAAGTTACTAAATCAAGCACAAGCACTGAGAGAGAATATAATTTGTACAATTGCTTTGTGGGTTTTGTTTGTATTGTTGAATGGGATGAATTAGTGAAGAAGTGAATTGGGTTGTGTTCACTCTGGTTCCTGTATTTAAAATACTAAGCCAACCAAGCACAAGCATTGGGAGAGACAATGATAAATGTAATTGCTTTTTCGGGTTTTGTTTAGATTTTTCAATTAATTGCGATTGATGATGATGAAGTGAACTAGATTTTGTTGGATTGATGAGGAACAGGCTCTGAAGGGAGGGCTAAGAGAGAAGGTTGAATTGGCCACCAAGTTTGGCATCTACTTAGTAGACAAGAAGAGGGAGGTGCGAGGTGACCCTGCCTATGTGAGGGCTGCTGCTGAGGATAGCTTGAAGCGCCTTGGTGTTGATTCTGTTGATCTCTATTATCAGCATCGGATTGACACCACTGTACCCATAGAAGTCACGGTTTGTCTTCTTCCCTCTTTGAGATTTGATCTCCTTTAATAGCAATTACAGAGCAATATGCATCTGCAGGCCTAGGAAAGTCATGTTTATCCGAAGATTTACAACATCGTGTATCATTTTTAGTCACATGTTTTATCAATTCCTCAATTTGATTTCATTTGTGGTTTACCTTGCGGAAGTCACGGTTTGACCGCATTTCTCAGATAAATGTGATTGCATCCTTTTTTTGGGACTTGCTCTAGAGTGTCATAAAATGCAGTATTGATTATCATGAATAACTTATTTTGAGCGTTTTCTTTTGATTCCTTAAATTCCTTCATTATATCTTTTGCAAGGTAGGGGAATTGAAGAAACTAGTTGAAGAGGGTAAGGTGAAGTACATTGGCCTATCTGAGGCCTCCGCTTCTACAATAAGAAGAGCACATGCTGTTCATCCAATAACAGCTGTGCAGTTGGAGTGGTCCTTGTGGTCGAGAGATGCTGAGGCAGAAATAGTTCCTACTTGCCGGTGCGGCTTTATTGAACTGATATAACTATTTTATTTGTAAATAACAAGTAGGTACCAAATTCGTTATAATTTATCACACTTGCGTAAATTTCTCAGGGAACTTGGCATTGGTATTGTTGCATACAGTCCTCTAGGGAGAGGATTCTTTTCATCAGGCGCTGAGTTCGTCAAAAACCTCTCCCATGATGATTCTCGAAAGGTTTGTTGGTATTTCACAAATTTTTTCGATTTTAAATTACCAAACTGCGAGATAAAATTTTCTTGGTATCATCATGATGCTATTATTGTGTATTTCCTGAACTTCCATCTCCCCTGCAAGATCTCAATTTGATAATTCATCTCATAAAGCTTAGTAGTCTCTCCTAGTATCCTCTTACTGAGTTTTCTCAGTAGTCTTCTCTCCATCAAAAACTTGGGTAGTGCAAAAAAATTCTTTCTATAACGTTAGTACCTAAGTAGCTGTCATTCATCCAGACAGTCAGAGCCCACTAACGTTCTAATTTGCTTCAATATTCTTTATTTTATAATGTTTTGTGGCAGAGTTCCACACTCCCATTTTTCATTTAGGCCTTTCGGTTTCTCTAATGGTTCACTATAATTTGAAGAAATAAATTGGCAAGAAAGGTTGACCATGAGCTTCTCCTGATTTCCTAGAGAGTTCACTGTAGTTTTCTGGTCATGCTTATTTCTGTCCATTGGATTGTTGTACATCTTTATCATGTCATTTTGAAGAAGCAAACTTAGTCTTGATTCTGAATTGTTTAGTTCAATGGTTGCAGGATCACCCCAGGTTCCAATCCGAAAACGTAGAGCATAATAAAGCACTATTCGAGCGGGTTAGTGATCTTGCTGCAAGGAAAGGGTGCACCCCCTCTCAGCTAGCACTGGCCTGGGTTCATCATCAAGGAAACGATGTGTGTCCGATACCCGGAACCACCAAGATTGAGAATTTTAACCAGAACATTGGTGCTCTCTCTCTGAAACTGACACCAGAAGAACTGGCTGAGCTTGATTCTTTTGCTTCTGCTGATGCCGTTAAAGGTGGCAGATATCAGAGTGGCTTTAGCACTTGGAAGAACTCTGAAACTCCTCCAGTGTCTTCATGGAAAGCCACATGAGCATGTGCATTTTGTCATGTCATAATGCTTCTTTGTACCTCACGAGCTTTGTGAATTTCCTTACCGTTATGAGAATAAGTAGTGCATGTTAAGTGGTATGTAATGACTGACTTTGAGACGTTCGTCATTTTGTACGCAGATTTCATCATGTTGTATGAGTATTCAAAACTATGAAATAGTCTGGGGTGAAGCGAAGGTTTTCATTTTATTTCTTTGATTTAATTTTCTCTGTCACTAGCAATTTTTAAGAGATCACAACAAAGAATGACATTGCTTGCCAAGAAACCAAAACTAGGGTTTTGTTTTCTAATTTTCATGTGGGTTGAAACATACATTTAGTGTCTATATTGTATTGTTCTTTTACGAATAATTGGGGAAGATAATGTTTTCTGGTCAAACGTTTCAATCATTTAGCTAGCTTTTAAGAGAATATATCCATTATATAACACATGATGTGGCAGCTGAGACGGACAGCCACATCAATTAAATTGTTCATTCCCAACAGTAGCAAATACAATGTGGGCCTGGCTAGGCCAAGAATGATTGTTAGCTAGTTTTTTTTTTTGGTGATTCGCCGACATAGCAGTTAACGATTCGCCGAGGTGCTTAAGGCTGGTCTGAGATGGAGACTTGGAGATGGTTGCAAGGTGTAATTCTGAGAAACTACATTCAACAGGAGAAACGAAACTTTGAATAGAAAATAGAAGGATCAGTGCCCGTAGCAGTCCTGGAGTTAGGTTATGATAGTAGTGATGAGCTCTACTAGAAAGAAAATCTCTTCTATTCATAGAGGAAGTGCTATCTAAGGGGCTTCTAAGCCCAGCCCTTGAATTCCGTTCCGTAGTTCAGTCCGGAACTCCAGATGTGTAAGTAGCGGCCAAGCGGCTCTGTCCTTTTCAAAGAGGTTATCCTTCTCTGTCCCCTGAAAGACGGATAGGAGGACTCTCTAGTATTTTGGAGGCTTTAAGTAATCAGAATGGGAGTGAGACTCCCCTACAGGAGTGGAGTCTCACGGTAGAAAGTATTAGTATTCCGGCTAACTATCCTAAGAAGAACTCCTTTCATAACCTGTAAGCTAGTGAGGCTCCCCGACAGGAGCCGAACGGTATTTTAATCTAGTAATAGGCTATTACGAATATGTAATATGAGTAATAGACAATCAGAAGCGCGCGCGCGCACGTGGGCGTGTCCCTATTCCGCGCGCGCATGTGCGCATATGCATGTATGTGCCCGTACGTAGGCGTGTCCCTACTCCGCGCGCGTGTATACGTGTACCCGTGTACGCCCGTACGTATGCGTGTACGCGTGTACGCGATGATTCGTAAAAAACAACCCTTACAGGTGGAACCCCTTGTTGTTCAACAACCACAACCCTTCCAGCCGGAACCCGCGGGGTTCGACCTAAATCTGCCTCAAGGGGGGCGGAGCCGGATAGAGCGAGACTTTTTTGATCTAAACCTACCTGCTCAGCCCGAGCGATCACTCAGCAATGAACACTAACTGAAAGCGGCCGGGAATGAGTACCTATCCTTCGACATGAAAAGACGATGTCCTGACCACTGGATGAAAGGGACCAAAAAGCCATTCTTCATATACCTCAGCTCTACCTCTCGCCTGAGATCTATGATATTTATTGCTTGACAACCGCCACACACATTGGGTCATTCACTCACTCCCGCATTGGGCGTCCCTCCCCCCTACGCTTTTTGGGCTACGGGGGGGACGCCCTGTGTGCGTTCGTTCATTCCCACTCGATAGATTCCCTGCAATCCAAATTTTCCGCGGTTTTTCTTTACAAAAAATGGCCGTAGAATGAGAATCCCTATCGATCTGATACCAGGTGGACAGCCACATCAATTAAAATTATTTAATATTTTCTTTTCTTTTATGATTTAATTAATGTGACTGTCCGTCTCAGCTGCTACATAAGATGGTATAAGGATATGGTATACAAATGTGGTAAGAGTAACATTATTCTTTTGATAATCAAATTGTCATATGTCATACATTTAAAAAGAGAAACGAAACTGAAAAAATTGGAAAGCAAAGTAAACTCTTTGCGATTGCCTTATCATCACCCAATTTAGTGCCAAGCACTATATTTAAAGACATTTCGTATTTTTTACGTACTTTTTTCCTAGTTTCTGACTTACTTTCAAGAAGTTAATATGATAGCTGATACTTTGGCAAAAAAAAAAAAAGGATATATCTCTCAAAATACTTGTATTGGGTTTAGCAATTATCCTTATTTTTGGTCGATCAGCAAAAAAATTTGAGTCCTTTTTTGGGTTTAGCAATTTTCCTTTGGATGTTGTACTTAAGTTAAAATTTGAGGGCTGTTTGATAACCATTTCAATTTTAGTTTTTAGTTTTCATTTCTTGTGCTAGAGTATAGCGGAAAAAAAATGGAGAATGGAAGTGAGAATGAGAGTGGAGATGAGATTGAGAGGGAAGATGAGAGGAGAGGATGAGAGGGAAGAGTAACAAAAGTAGAAACAAAAACTAAAAACTCAAATATATTTGAAATTATTTTCACTTTCAAGATTTTGTTTTCACTTTTGTAACTCCTCTCTCTCATCTTCTCTCTTAGGCCCCGTTTGAGATTGCTTTTTTTGGCCAAAAACCTACTTAACTTTAAAGTTAAGCAGTTTAAGGTGTTTGGTAAAAATAAAATATCCTGCTTATTTTAAAAGCAATGGTCTTTTGACAGCAGCTTTTAAAAGCAACATCGGGGTTGCTTTTTAAAGCTGCTTTTAATTGAAGCAGCGCGCTCCCTTTAATGAAATTTTCGCAATTCCACAAATACCCTTATTAGGTTAGAAATCTATCCTACGTATTTCTCTCAAATCTGCAAACACCAAAGTTCATCTTCACATAGCCTCCCAAGTTTCTTCACGTAGCCTCCCAAGTTTGGAAACAACCATTCGCTCAATCTCTCTCAATCTCTTTGACAAGGTTAGATTCTTCAATCTCTCGAACTTTCTATATACGTGTTGCTCTTGTTTTTTTGTTTTTGTTTTGTTTTTCCTACTGGTTGTCCATGGTTTCTACTGGTTTTATATACATTCAAATTTTTTCTACTGGTTGTCCATGGTTTCTTTAAGAATAAAGGTGTCCATGTCAGGAAGTTACAAAGGAGAAATACACATTCATGTTACAAGCCTCGAATGGGGCCAAATAAATTTGTATTTGCTTCCATCTTAGTATCTTATCCTTTGTATAAATTATGGTTCTACAGAAATTCAGCTATTATTGAGCTTATATGTACACCTAAAATCATTGAGCATTGAAAAAAAGAACCGTCCTAAACTTATTACCGGAACCTTGGCACTTTTCATGTATCTAGAGCTCTGTTATGTCAAAGTCACCTACGATTTTAGGGTCTTCTTGAATATCTCCACAAGCTAAGAGCCAAAACTGTGAGGCCAGCAATGCCAGTCAAAATCTGTTACAACCAGCAAAACTAATTTGTTATACAGCTGCTCTAAAGTTTATGAATAATTTGAGATAATTCATTCAAGAACAAATTTGAATAGAACTCACCTTCGCATGTCTTCCGTAACTAGTTTTGCTGCAAACTTTTAATTCCCTTTATTTCTTTGGCTTCTATTAATCTTTTATGAATAAATATCAAAACTGCAAACCCAAAAAATAAGGAAAAAATATATGGGAGTGTGTTTGAATCCTTGTCATCTTGTACGACATGGTGTATTGCTTTTGATGTATGTAGTTTTGCCCAAATTTTCCTATAGGTAATTACTTAGGCACTATGCATGTTTTTAGTAAAAACATTATTTGCTATAACATGTTCATCTCCCAATACATACATATTTATATAAGGACATGCACAGATGGTGAAGAATAATAATGTGGCTAGTGGATCACGAGTTCCAGCTGTATGGAATAATCAGAATACAACTATATTTTGTGACCTGTGTATCAAGGAGGTGGAGGCAGGTAATCGTCCTGGTACTCACTTTAAGAAAGAAGGATGGGAAAATGTGAGGATTAGCATGAGTAAAGAGACAGAAGCCGAGTATGATAAATCACAATTGAAAAATAAGTGGGATGCACTTAAGGAACAATGGAAAATATTTTTTTATTGCTACAATTCAAACCTTATTAGGACATTAGGACAGAGGATTTGTCAAAAAAAATATTTATTACTTATTCAATATAAAGGATGGTGTATGAACCTACTACCGTGGTGATCTCTTTATCTTTGTTGGAATTTATTCAATACATAATTATCTTTGTTGGAATTATTCAATTTGAATTTTTCTTTTCTTTAAGCAAAGACTAATATAATTTTTAGGGGGAAAAGTATAAAAGCACTTTACAGTTTTATTTATTTTTTTATCAAACATATTAGTAAAAAGCACTTTCAGCATCATGTCTATTTTAGTCATTATAAATAGTTACAGCACTTTTATGGTAAAATTTACCAAACGCTCTAACACTGCTTTCATACTCACAGCACTTTTAAAATTACAGTTTATCAAACGTTTAACTGCTTTACTTTACAGCTGATTCTTTTTAAAGCACAGCAGAAGCCGCTTGTTTTTTTTAAAGTGGCAGCAATCCCAAACTAGGCCTTAGTCTCATCTTCATTTTCATTTTCCTCTATACTCTAGCACAAAAAGTGAAAACTAAAAGCTAAAATTGAAACAGTTATCAAACGGGCCCTAAGATTATGAATTTTTTGTAGTTGAAAATATTATGATTCTTTTACCTAATACAACCCATTATTCACACTCGTTAATAATTAATTTAAAAATGAAGAGTGTTATGATAATCAACACTAGTAATTTGAAACATGCTATGCATGTGGACTGAGGCAAGAAATAGGAAGAGAGAATAGGGAAAAAAACATGGAGGATTTGTTTTCAAATATTTTTTTAAAAAACAATTGATATTATTATTTTGCCTTTATTAAACATAATTAAGAGTATTTACTCCTGTAACTAAGGTCGTAGGTTCGATTTTCCATTGTATAAAAATAATAGAAGGAGATAGAAGAGAGAGAGATGTGAAACAGTAAAGAAGACCTCTCTCATGATGATTCTCGAAAGGTTTGTTGGTATTTCACAAATTTTGTCGATTTTAAATTACCAAACTGCCAGATAAAGTTTTCTTGGTATCATCATGATGCTATTATTGTGTATTTCCTGAACTTCCATCTCCCCTGAAA